ATAATAATAATAATTATTATTATTATAAACTTAATTTTATATAGTGCCTTTTTATTTGCTATGTATAGCAGCTTTGTAAAAGTTGGTGGGGGAAACAAGAGTAGCATTACTTAACTTTAAATACTGTTCAAACAGAGAAAAAAAGTGTTTTTAGAAAAATATCTAAGAAACACAATCAGAAAAGAAGCAAACATCAAGATTTCCACCAGATTTTGAGTGTATATAGATTGTTGTAAAAACGATAATGGAGGCAAGAGATGTCCAAGTGGTGATAAAAAGATTAAAGGGCCTAATACTGGGGCCTGAGGAACACCATGAGTACAAAACTGATCTCAGACCTGTAACCACCCAAATTAACTGGTGATGGTCAGTCAAATTTTATTTTAGATTTAAACCACTTTAAGGCTGTCCCCAAACAACACTATCAAGATGAGTAAGTAATAGACTATGATCAACAGTATCGGAAGAGGCACTAAGATAGAAAAGGAGGAGGACAGAAATTGAGCCAGAATCAGATGCCATCAACAAGTCTTTGGTAACTTTGACCAAGGCCGTTTCAATACAGTGACATTTATGAACACCTGACTGAAGGGGTTCAAGGTGGTTATACAAGCTAGAAGCAACAGCAAATTATTTTTGCTAAGAACATAAAATTTGAGATGGCATGATAATTGTAAATAGTTGTCCAGGTCAGCATTTATATACAGTGTTCAGCGTTACAGCAACAATTTTTAATGCTGCTCCTTTGTTTTTGCAGGCATATCCTTCACTGCTTTCCTCTCAATTTTGACAGCTTTATCATTGCTCATATTTGCACTTCTTGCACTTCTTATTCTTATGATTTGCAGAAGGTAGGATCTTGCTAGATTTCTTTTTTAAATTATGTGTCCTATACATTATTGGAGATCATGTTTTCTTGTTTTGGTATATGCAGGTGGAAAGAGCCAGTCAGAAGTGTAAGTATATTTTCTGCCATGGTATGTTCTTCATGAAGTTATAACACAATAGACGTTCAAAGATCATTTATCAATGCATTTCAGGAAACAAGCCAAGATCAGAACATTTATAGCAATGTGTCCGCAAGTGCAGTGAAAAGCGAGCAGCTCCAATCAAAGCCATGTGAAGATGAGAACACCAGCACCATTAACCCTGAACACACATTCAAACATGATCTCCCCGACGAAAGCATCTACGCAAACTGTTGAAGTGAAAAGTAGCATGTTTTAAAGGGGTCATGTGATGTTGCTGAAATTTTAGATGTTTGTTGATAACTCATGGTAAAGTTCATGCTGTGCATGATAATCAGTGAACTGCTGTTTCCTGTAGTAGATTTTTACACCAAAGCAATGAAGTTTATTCAGTAAAGGCTGCCCATTTTTGTCTGTTCAGTTTTGTGGAAAACTTGAAAAATTATTACTCTTAAAAATGAAAACAAAACGTTTAATTGATCAATATTTATTTCATTTGTAAATTAATCAATTTACTCACAACATTTTTTTTTAAATATAAAAGTATCTTATAGATGGTTTGAAATAAACAAGTGTTAAATGTATGGATTTTCATGGGTCTTCCTGCCATTTTATTATCTTCACAAAATCTTGTTTTTTTATCTGCTACCTTTCTCTACTGTTACCATATTTGTAACATTGTGTGAAAGCATGTGTGAGTTTTTATCATGGGGGCAAAACACAACCATATTAAAGGCAGCATCCTGTGTGAGCTGGGGATTTTACCATAAATCAGAAGCCTTGGAACATTATCTTAACAGTTTAATTGACTAATGGTTTACTCATCTTTATTAATCTGCAATACAAGTAGTAACATATTTAGCTACATGGCCTAGAGTGAGCGGCGGCGGCCTAGAAGGAGCAGAGGCGGGCGGGCTTGAGAACGGCGCAGCCGGCGATTTCAACAAAGGAGCGTTCGGCGGGCTTGTGGCAACCACATGTGACGACCCCGGGCTGGACTCTGCTTCGTCCATGGTGAAAGCCGATCCGGCGATCTTTTATCTGCTACCTTTCTCTACTGTTACCATATTTGTAACATTGTGTGAAAGCATGTGTGAGTTTTTATCATGGGGGCAAAACACAACCATATTAAAGGCAGCATCCTGTGTGAGCTGGGGATTTTACCATAAATCAGAAGCCTTGGAACATTATCTTAACAGTTTAATTGACTAATGGTTTACTCATCTTTATTAATCTGCAATACAAGTAGTAACATATTTAGCTACAGTATAACATTTTAGTTTTTTTTTCATTCGGCTCTTTGCATATTTTGCTGGTTTCTCGTTCTTCCTGATGTATTCATTTCTTTAACTGGGGACTTGAGTTTATGCACACCATAACATTAATGCTAAAAGCATGTCTGAACTGTAAACATGATTTTAAAAATATACATATTGCATAAAATTAATCAATAGATTGTTTGAAATTGCATTTAAGACCTCTTAAATCTTTTCTCGATCTAACAGATTGCAACATCCTTCACTTTTTCATATTAGATTTTCTGTTTATGTTAAAATGGTGATAATAGGCAGATGTTACTAAGTGAACTGCGGTTTTCTGCTGAGACACTGTGACTGCACCACAACTGAAGCAAGGATAGGTCATTCTTGTCTGGGTTGCTGTTTAGTCTCACGAAAAACTATTTAAGGTAAACTATTACATTTGTTTTGAATTTTAAATTATTTCATTGTAAATTGTTATTGTCAAGACAAACAGACAATAAGAGATGCTCAGCTATATGTTGTACATTTAAACTTGATTTCTAAATACACAGCTCACATCAGATGACTCTCAGAATGTTTGCTGCAGATCTTGTATTTGGCTCTGTTCTATTAGGTTGGTCAGGTTTTTCTTCGTTGTTTTAATTTCAAAGTTTAACAATCAGAAAGATAATTTCATTCATTTCACACATTTATTATTTTGAAATATAATGCAATATATGAATTATTAAGTCTAATTATAACAAATTTATATTCCAGCTGCTTGGTGTCAGTCAGTCCTGAGCGTATCACTCCCCAAAACCCTCAACAGCACCAGCGGCTCTTGCCTTCTGATTCCTTGTCTATTCAACATTTCAAAAGAGAAAGAATACATTCTTGACAGTTCACCAGAAGCAACATGGAGACGAGGATCTCTGTGGTCACTCTATGATACAGATCGTTTCACCATCGATCACCGTCAGAAGGAACCTGTGATGGAAGTGGTGGGTGACCTACGAAAGAAAAACTGCACTTCTGTCATGAGGAACCTCACCAGCCTGTATTCAGATCGTTACTACTTCAGGATTCAAGCTGAGAACTTGCGGGTATTTTGGCAAGGCAGGTGTCACATCATAGCTGTGTGGGCGGAGTCGGCATAGGGGAAAACACATACCCCCGGTTTCACAGACAAGGCTTAAGCTAGTCCCAGACTAAGGATCTCTGTGGTCACTCTATGATACAGATCGTTTCACCATCGATCACCGTCAGAAGGAACCTGTGATGGAAGTGGTGGGTGACCTACGAAAGAAAAACTGCACTTCTGTCATGAGGAACCTCACCAGCCTGTATTCAGATCGTTACTACTTCAGGATTCAAGCTGAGAACTTCAGTGTGACTGGAACAAGAGCTGTGCATATAAATGTGTCAGGTAAGTCCGAGCAAATGTTTTGATAATAAACCAAGAAACTACCAAAACCAGGTGTTTTCAGTGGCATCAAATCTTTGAAAAATGGTCAGAGTTTTAACAAGGTTCATATTAGTAAACTAGATATACAAATTCAATCGAGTACAATCACTTGGACCCAATATTAGAGTAGGTCGATCTTTCAAAACTTTCCCACAGTTCTCCTAACCAACGTTCAGCTTTGCAGTTAATTTCACATTCAAAATGCACTAAAACGCTACGTTAGGGTTGCACGATACTGGAACAAATATTTCCGATATTTTGCTTTTCTGCAATATATATTGTGAAATGAAAAAAATACAGGAATTTTCACAAGGTGGCTTGAACAGCTTTGTGTAGAAAGCATGAATTATTCTAGAGTTAGTGGGGTGAATTTATTCGGAAGTAATCTGCATACAAAAATTAAAAAAGATTTAGGCTGCATTCATTTTTAAACCTAATGCTCTGCAGTGAATACCATTATCTCGTCTCAATATCCGGATAGATTCCTTGCCTAAGCCGAATGTGAACGTGCCGGTGCTCAGGGAGGGTGAGGAGGTGAATCTGACCTGCACTGTTCCAGCTCCCTGCCCCAGTCACCCTCCAAATGTAATCTGGGCTCCTGCATTAGGTGGTGACGTAACACAGAGGACACAGCTGAATGCTGATGGGACTCAGACTGTTTCTGCCATCTTGAATTTCGTCCCGTCGTTCCACCATCATGAGCTGAAAGTGAACTGTGTTTCCATTCATCCTCTACACAGAGAGGACAGACCCCTGCTCAGCCACAAGATGGTCATCCTCAGTGTGGAGTGTGAGATTTTAACCCAACACATTTTGTAGCTTTTTTCTTTTTATTGTTGTTTGTTTTGAAAATGCACACTCTGTTTCTTTTCTTTCCGGCTCCAGATCCTCCTAAGGAAACATGGATCTCTCTCACAGGCTTGGTCTGGCTTGGTGATAAAGTGACCCTCACCTGTCAAAGTAATGCCAACCCTCCTGCGGTCCACAGGTGGTTCAAGAAGAGAGCAGATGTAGAGGAAGAACTGGGCATCTCACATATGCTTTCCTTCACTGCGGCCCAAGAGAACACTGGGGAATACATTTGTGAGGCACAGAATATATACGGTGCAATGAACTCCACAAACCTACAGATCACTGTCTCACATTTGGGCGGTGTTATGCAGATCTTCCCACATCGTGATGTAGATATGTGGGTGGGTGTTAGAACGAGCCTAACGAGTTTTAGGTAGGTGTGGTTGACTCTTAACTTTTATAAAGAATATCTCTTTGGATTTGAGACTTTAGTCTTTACAACTTTACAGATCTTCTTTATGCACCAAGAGCTTGTAACACTCCAAAGAGAAAGGAAAACTTGAAATCGCATCATATGACCCCTTTAAAGGCATGTGACAATGTGATACGTGCGACAAACATCTTCCCAAATTCCTAAAGAGAATAATTTATAAATCTGCATGCTGTTGTCAACAAAAAGAAGCACTGAGACATTCCTGCGGGTTTCTGCCAAAATAAAAGTCGAGAAAAAGCAACAACTCCATCGACATTCATAAATTATAGTATTGTCATCTTACTGTCATTCTGTAAAATAAAATAAAAAAGTAAAAAAATAATGATAATAATAATTACCCTACACCAGCTCTATTAATACATTTATTATAACATTAACACAGTGTTCAAACTGGGATCTGTTATATATTCTAATGTTTTAAAAGAAGTCTCTTCTGCTCAGCAAGGCTGCCTTTATTTGTACAGTAAAAAATACATGCCTGATTCAAGTCTCAAAAATGGCCAAAAAATATTATTTTACTAACTTATTAATTTTAAGTTAAATTGTGCTTTGTTTGTATAATGTCTGCTAGAATGTTAATATTATATTATAATATTATAATGTTATAAAATATTTTTAAATTGTTGTTTTGTAATTGATTTTTTATTTGAAAAGCAGGGCAAAACAGTAAAAAGCACATTTTGGCAATTTACTTAATGCAATGGTGAAAAAAAATTGGCAAAATAGGCCTACATGGGGGGGAAATGTAAAAAAACATGTTCAGTACTCGGCCTTCGGCCCAGTGTTTAATTTTGTTCGGCTTCGGCCAATAATTTATTGCGGTGCATCCCTACATGGGACAGTCTTGCGCACTTACTTCCTGTCACGCGCACATGCTCTCAAGTGGCCAAGACCGCAAGTGCGGGTATTTTGGCAAGGCAGGTGTCACATCATAGCTGTGTGGGCGGAGTCGGCATAGGGGAAAACACATACCCCCGGTTTCACAGACAAGGCTTAAGCTAGTCCCAGACTAAAATGCATGTTTGAGCTGTCTCAACTGAAAATATCTTAAGACATGTCAGTGTCATTGTTCTGTTTCAAGATGCATAACTGTAATGTTTTCTTCTAAGGCATTTTTGTAAAAGTTGCTTAAATATCTTAATTTAACTAAGGCCTAGTCCTGGCTTAAGCTAAGCCCCGTTTGTGAAACGTTTCCCGACATATTTGTTAGATAATTGAGCAAGAGACAGCTTACTACAAGCCTATACGTGACGGCTTGTGAAAGTAAACATTTGTCGTTTTATTTTGCTTAATTTTAATAAAGTGATAAAGATTTGAGTAAAAGCCTGTCATACTTTCTTATTGATATTAAAAAGATTTTTAACATTGACAAAACAGGTAACATTAAGGTCCACTGAAGTGCCTTGAAATGTGCAGCGTTACAGCGTTATTTGTGTGCTGCGACTGCCTAATCGTTTTCACAAATACATGCCTTAAAATAAAGATAACATGTAAATATGTAAATATGTATACAAAAAACCTGGTTATTGGTTACTATAGTTAAACCATGTTAAAAACAACATGTTTTGCTACACTAACCATAGTATTTGTAGTAAAACTGTGGTTATAGGCTACAATTGGTAAGAAAAATGGCAACAAAAAAAAAACATGGTCAGCCTACTGTTACGTAATGGCTACGGAGGTGGAACGAGGAGATGAGACACAGGTTTAAACTCAAAATAGTCTTTTAATCTTCGCTTCGGGGAAATACAGGGCAGGCAGACACTCACGTAGCCCATAGGGGAATCAACTCAATAGCAGACAAAGGAATATTGGAGAACACAGGTTTTAAATACTGGGAATGTAATCAGGGAGAAACAGAAGCAGGTGTGGAGTTAATTAATCAAAAACCATGGAAACAAACGAGGCAGGAGAAAGGAAACACAGAAAACTAAACAGATCATAACCATAACAGTTCGCCCCCTCCCGGAACGACACGCCCTCGTGCCGACAAAAGTCCAACAGAGGAGGGAGGGTGGGGGTTCACGAGGTCAGCGTGGGGCAGGCAAGGGGCAGGCAATGGAAAGGGAGCATAGTTCATCGTGCCAGGGCGGAGTGGATGGAGGGAGGAGCCCAGAGGAGGAGAAGCCAGAGGCCAGCCAGGATAGCGGCCCACGGTGGAGTCGACGGCGGGAGGAGCCATGGCGGAGATATGGCTGACCCCACCAAGGGGCCGACTGACGGAGACTGAGCAACTGAGGATGGAGGCAATTTACAATACAATTTAATAATGCTTTAGTTTATGTAGAGGTCTATGTTCTTTGTATTTTGGTGGAGCACTGCCTCACCGGCCCATGCAGACCAGCAGTTTAGTTTGAGTCCCTGTCTCAGAGGAACTCTGCATGTCCCTGCCAATAATGAGCCTTAATGGGGATGCCTGACTCCTGCGTCCCCTGGGCCAGAAAGCCTCACTGGCTGAGAAGATGGGAAGGGGCTGAGGCACGTACTGAATAACATGGAATGGTAACGCAAACATCAATGTTACGTCACAAGAACCTTGCACAGTAGTAGCGCAATTCCACTTTTTGGAAACCTAATGCTTTTGAATTTTTGAATCATAGGCATGTGTTTTCAAGTCTTGTCGGTTTAAGCATTCAATAGATTTTGAACCGTTAAACGAGAAAAACGACGCGAAAGTAACTTCAATTTGTACACCACGTCCTGCGTCTCAGACAGTGTGCTATTACCGAACTAAGTTTTCTTTTGCGTCTTACCGCTCTTGAACAGACAAATAAACAGTCAAAATGCCCATTTTGGCCCGCATCGAGTTAACGGAGTTAGTTGGCAGTTGGGAGAAATTGAGAAAATCTGACGTGTCAGATCTGTGGTCTTAAAGTGACAGCAGCTAAGGGATAGTTCACCCAAAAATTTTAATTCTGTCATCCTTTAGGCTTCTCACGCTCAAGTTGTTCCAATCCTGTATGAGTTTCTTTCTTCTGTTGAACACAAAAGATGATATGTGACCCTGGACCCCAAAACCAGTAATAAGGGTCTTTTTTTTTTATTATTCATTGACATCATCTGAAAGCTTTCCACTGATGTATTTTTTATTAGGAAGATAGGTCAATATTTGCCAGAGATACAACTATTTGAAAATCTGGAATCTGAGGGTGCAAAAAAAAAATTTTTTTTTTTTAAATCAATATTGAGGAAAATCGCCTTTAAAGTGGTCCAAATAAAGTTCTTAGCAATGCATATTACTAATCAAATTAAGTTTTTATATATTTACGGTTGGAAATGTACAAAATATCTTCATGGAACATGGTTTACTTAAAGCAGCACTATGTAACTTCTGGCGCTCTAGCAGTTAATAAACAGAGCTGCACACATCCCGCGGAAGAACATTCCAACCGGAGCTACTTCTCTAAGTTTGTGTCTATGGCGATTCACGCAGGTATGTGTTACTCCG